TTTAAAAGATTGATAAATCTCACCCAGGCTAGTGTTGTCGATATACAATTTCTTTATTTGGTTGTATTCCTCTACATATCCTGTATCTTCTATAGGATTTGTATCTGTTGTACTGCTTATAATTCTTTTAAAGTGTTTTTTTTTCTGATAGAACCTCTCCATTTCCTACAGTATTAAGCAAAAATTGCGAAGAAAATTTATCAGCAAATGATGTGTAGTGAACTGTGGAAAATCTTTGAACTTGTCCTCTTCTTTTTGATCTGCTGTTCTTTGAATACTTCTTTGAATTTATTGTGATTTTGGTTTATTTAGAAAGATCTCTTTAGTGTGCTCTGTTAGTGCGAGGACTTGACCGGTGCAAGATTTGCCGGGTCTGAATCTTTTTGTATGAATGCCGGGACATTTTTTCTTTTCTGGCGAGTATGGGTCTCTCGTATAGTTGGAAAAAGTGACACAACAGCGAAATAGGTCTGTAGCTACTGGGATTTTCTGGGTCTTTTCCTGGTTTTAACAAGGCCATTACTTTGGATTTCCTTCACGATTTTGGAATTTCGCAGTTTTTTGCTCCTTGGTCTAGATGTTTTATTTGTTCACTACATATATTATCCACACCTGCAGCTTTCCCGTTTTTCGAAAGTAGATATAGCTTAATCCCATTTCTTTTCAATTTAGGACAACCCGTCAACTCTGTTCTTTCGTTCAATCGGGTAAGAGGTACAATGTTATCAAGATCATCTTCAAAGTCGGAAACGTTATCACTGGAGACTAAATTAGAAATATCCGAGTCATCTTCCGAATCTTCGTTGGGATCACTTTCATCTGACAACTACGTTTAATCATCCGCTGAGAAACCTCTATGTTTAGCTTCTTGAATGTTCATATTTACATTAGAAAGGTTTTCCAGTTCCTCAGTGAGTTCCATTTCAATTACTTTTTAGAAGTAACGTTAGTAATGATTTATTATTTAAGTCTGTAAGAAAATAAATAAAATAAAATTTCTCGCAAAATACTTACAAATAAAATAAAAAACGAAGTTTTCCCACCAATGATCACGTGGTCCACGAATTTAAAATTTCATTGTGGGACCACAAGACCACTGGTGTGTCTCACGCAAAAAAACACAAAACCAGTCAGAAAATAAGACGGTACAATCCCTTAAACATATAATTTTATTAAAAACTAAAATATTGTCAACGCATTTAAAAAAGTGGTACAGTAGGAGGTACTGTAGCGCGAAGCTTCATACTATTTTCTGTATTTTTAAATATTAAATAATATTATTGTTAATTACAGTGTAATTTTATTAAATACGTGGTGAAATTACTGAATATATTCAAAGATACTTAAGTACATTTTAGACTCACGGTTATTTGAATCATCTATAGACTCACCACGTATTTTTCCAGCTGTATTTATCTTTCACAGGTGATAAATATTGTTTATTCGACATTTTTAAAATCGGAAGGAATTCATAAGGAATAATATCAATGTTATTCATGTTATTTACAAAATGAAAAACTTACGTTGTATTGTAAGGTTATGTTGTATAACGGACTCACCTCATCTAGTAAATGGACTCTTCCAACTATATCGTGTCGCTAATTTCGTGACGATCGCCTCAGCATTTTATTATAGAGAAAAAATAATACAACGCCAGTATAAAAGTTAAAATAATTAGTCCCAGGAAGGAAAATACAAATCACCACCAAGTTTCTAGCACCTTTGCGAGTACGGTTGGCATATTTGGTCGTCTTATGTACAATTCCTTAGATTACAAGCTTTAAATTAATTATTTTTAAACTTTGTTAACAGCTGAAACAGTTTCCTCAATTATTTAATTAGATTTATAGACGGTTTAATGATCGAAGCCAGTTCGATCCTGAGCTCCCTCATATAAGTATACCAGTTTTTCAAGCCGAGAAACCTTCTAATAACACGACAGGTTGGTATTTTTATGCTAGGTGCACAATTTGCACATTTTACCTCTTCTTTGCAACGTCTAATGGCGAATATTTACATAACTTATTATTTTATATGCGAAAGATAATGTACTGGACGGACACCGCTAAATGCTAATGCATACTGTCGGTTGCTTACAATTTATAACTAAGTGTATTTGCCCGACGTCGTATTTCTTGATAGGAGTATCCTCTAGATATTGGAAAATTGAAATGTGATAATTTTTGCAATAAATTTGTAGTAAAAATGAGTAGTTGGATAGCCAGGGAGCTTGTTCACAACATAAATCTTTTGATTTAGGCATCATATTTCGGTCATAATGAAGTTCTGTCTTTGTCTTTTGTATACAATTCCAGTTTACAATTAGTACGTTCCGTCTAAGGTCTAAAAGTTGGAGCACGTAACTTGTATGCCGCCTCAGTTGCAGCATATGTGGTTCCAGAAAAGCCAGCATTCTCTGGGGTACACCATTATCCCAGATGATTTTTCTTTAAAAATTATAAGTGCTGGGATTTTGTCAACCAATGCAAAAGCTGCTAGCAAAACAGTTATATTCTGTATTCCAGGTGCACTTATCATTCGAGTGCAGGGCATGTTCTTACCACCAACTGCTTTAATTTTGGAGGGGTCAGTATAAAAACTAGACGCATCCAAGTTAAAGGACTATTTTCTAATCTTAGATCTTTTATGGTAGTTTCCAATAAATTAAAATATTTTTGGATTGAAAAATGATACTGCTTGCGGTTGTTTAATGATAAATTGTTTCTTGTTTTAAAGCCCAAAGACCAATCTTCTCTTTGGCTAACGTCTTTAAAAGGAGTTTTCAATTTATTGGATTTTATAAACTGCCCAACCAGCTCCAACACTTCTTTTCTGGACAATCTATATCCGTTCTTCTCCATTGTCTTGAGTCGATCTGCAAGTCACCTTTCATGTTCTTCTAAAATAGCTGTTTTTCTTCTTCTTCTTTTCGTGCCATCTCCGCGACGAAGGTTGGCAATCATCACTGCTATTCTAACTGTTGACACTACAGCCCGAATGAGTTCAGTCGAGTTGCATCCAAACCATTCTCTGAGGTTTCTCAGCCAGGACGTTCTTCTTCTACTTATGATGCGCTTTCCTTGAATCTTTTCCTGCATTATTAGCTTTAGGAATTCATATCTGTCACCACTCATCTTTTTCGGCCGTTGGGGCATAGACTTGAATTATGTTTATTTTTATGTCTTTCGTTTTTAGTTGTAGTAGCATAACTCTTTCTGAAAAAGGTAGAAAATTCTGAACGTGTTGTGAGATTTCATTGTTCAGTATTATTGTCACGCCATGTCGATGTTGTATGTCATTATTACGCGGATAGTATACCGTATGGTCTCTAACTTTACATTTTCCATTTCATATCCATCGGTTTTTTATGCGTAAAATGTTGATGTTAATTCTTTTCATTTCTTGGATTATATTGTGTGTTTTTCCGGAATTGAACATGCTGGTCACATTCCAAGTTCCAATTTTAAATTGACGGTCTGCTTTTTTCTTTTTCTGGTAGGGATTTCGCTGGTTGACGACCTGAAAAGCCCTGACTTCTTTCCTGTCGGATCTTGGTTTCCGATACCCATGATCAGTACACGTCTGCTTACTCTGTCTTCTCATTGCATGATGATTCGACTAGGGATATCTTTCGATATTTAATACAGTGGTTTCCCGTTGCCTTTTGTATTCTTATGCCGTTTGCTAATGTCTTAGCTCATCCGCTGTTCTTCTGCCAAGTGATTTACTAATTGTACCATGTTTACCTTTTAAGCGATTCATTATTGTTTTTAACGGTATTTTGTATTTTTTGCTTGCCCTATAGGCATTTATTCCATTAATAACCAGACCTAATTTCCATTAATAGTTATTTTGGATCTAAAAAAGTTATTAATAAATAATTTAAGCAAGAAAACATACAAAGTAAAAAAATCTTTGAAATTGACTGATAAAAGCAGAACTTCGGTCTTACCCCGGCACAACTTGTCCCGTGCACTAATATTTGCGGGGCAAGACCAGAGTTGTGCTTTTTCCAGTAACTTTCAAATAATCGAAAGGATTTATTCATTTACAGTAAACTTTAAATTTAATATTCTTAATACTTAGAAAAAATAAGTGCACAAGAAAAAAATTTGCTGTAAAATAACGGCACTTTGTTTGGCAGCTCTTGGTTAGATATGTACTGCACAAGTACTTACATTGAGTGAGAGACATATATTTCAATCAGTTCATACTAATCCAGTATAGGTTTCAACTCCTTGGCTTTTACAATTGAATGTATCTTATACATAATAAGTTTAGATCGATTACGATCTTGCCCCGTTTACGATCTTAGCAAAATCCACCCTATTTTGCACTGTAAAAAAACACACAAAAGAGCTGTTAAAAGGCTATTCTCTTTAAATCCACATGGATCGATTGTATTAGCAACGAATCAGTCATTGGTAACATTCACAATGCATTTCACTTTCGGGAACAGTTTGTCTCTAGTGATCATTCTTCTTCTCATGGCGTCGTCTCCTTTCGAAGATTGGCGATCCAAATGGCAATTGTGGTTTTGAGTGATCATTAACAATATTATTTTGTTTTCACAAACCTGCCTTGAACAGAGGGATATATTGAGAAGAATAAGAAATGTTACATGTATGCAACACGTGCGAACAGTGTGGATTAGGAATGAACATGACAAAATATAAATGTGAATAATATATTTTTCAGAAATGGTACAATATCAGTTTGTTATCACGATTTCAAAGCACTTGCCTCTCATCAGAGATACTCAGATATTAATTAAAATTCGTAGAACAGCGTATTGTGTTATCATTTTTTTGTTACCGTGGTAGTAGCTGATAAAGATCTACTCTGAGAAAGAATGATGGTCTTACCAAGTGCACTGGTAGTGCAATTACCAACTGATAATATAGTCTTTATATAAGTGTGTATGTCATTTGTCACCTATTTTTAATAACCTGCTATACCTTTTTGTCACGATTTAAATATTGACTACTCTTTTTTTTCAGGGCTCAGATTCGTGGGTTTCAGTTCACAATTTACAATCTCAAGGAGGTGGTATTTTAGATCCAGACGATAAACTCAATGACGTAGCAGACGATAGAGAACAGATCCTCGCCAGCTTCGAAGATGGGGAAGGTGCCCATATCCATGGAGGCGGTGATGGAGCCAGTGGGAGTTCGGTCGGAACAGGAAGTCCGGATATTTTCCACGTAAGTTTTCCGAACTGATTTTTTAAATACTATTTATGGATTGTGTCAATTAAGATTATTATCATGTGCCTATCTTTTAATTCATGTTACGAGGAAAGAAAATTTATCTGAAATTTATTTTTACTGTTAAAAAGTTATCTGCCTACCCTAGTAGCTTATACCATAATAATCCATAATAAGTCCCAATAATTATATAGGAATAAACCTGCGATGAAAAGGACAGACATATTATTACAAATTACGACAAGTTAGTAGCAGAAGAGTTTAATTTAGTTATAATTAATATAATTTATATATATTATATTATATATATTATATATATATATATATATAGTTCGGGGGAATGTAGTGCGAAAATGAAAAAAATAGTTATGTATAAATCAGTCGAAGGAACAAACAAGTCACGAAGAATCTAATGGAAATGATCATAGATTATAGTCAATCTCCCGATAGTAAAAGAGCGAACCAGATAGATCATATCTTTATTAAACAAAAATATCATGCGATCATTATAAAAATCTGGAGCATCAGGGGAACACTATGTGGTTGTGAGATCATTTCTTAATAAGAATCTGCAAGCATCTACAATTGGGAGTTGCAAAAAGATCAATTAGAGACAGAATTAGGTGTAAGCTGGGATTTAACGAATTAAGCGGTGGAAAAGTCAAAGTCGTATTTGGATATGAGAATAAATTTAAAGAAATGAAGCAGTGGTTCAAAGAAAAATGTAGGGATCTAACAAAAACAAAATCCAAGGCAAGGCAAGTCATGTTATCCAGTCATAATGAAGCCAACGAAGAGAACTGTGGAAAAAACCGAAGACAGTTTAAGAAAAGATAGGGAGATGCAAAGGACGGTACAATAAAATAAGTAAAGTCGGAAGAGAACAGAGTAAGACTGAATGTATACAAGACTTAAAGAACAACAAGAGTCCGGGAACAAATGGAATAGGTTAACAAATGTTAAAGGCAGTGGGCAGGCCTATTAAGAAAGCAACTAGCTAAATTGGGTATATTTGGGAGAAAGAGAAGATGTCAGAAGAATGGTCGGTCAAACCCTTTTCCCCGCAACTATGCCGGATTTATAATTAAATAAATAGCTGATAAATCTATAGAATACAAACATTATACAAATAGATATCACGTAGAGTGGCGCTGCTTATTTGCTTATACGTATTCGGTCCTAACAGGACTCATAAGAACAACTCTGCAGAAGACCTGAACGTGAAAACAAATCCTTTCCATTCAAGTTATAATGAAAGAACTTCTAACGCTACGGCGCCATCTGATAGTAAAACCAAAATGTAGAAATCCTAAGATTTCTTAGTTGTTGAAACCAAAATTAAGATTTTTGCTTAAATCTATGCCTTCTATAATTTACAAAGCAAAACAGACCATGAAAGAACCGACATGGTGAATCTAAAATGGTATTCCATTACAAATCAATTCACCTAAGCAAAACCATACTATTTGTGTTTCATATACTTCGAAAAGCGTTGGAAAAAGTAAGACTACCTTTGAATTTTATAAAAATGCGTGTTTTAGTAAATTTTAATATTTTTTGTGGTAAGCAACATTAAAAATCTAACATTGATTGAAAATGCATGACGTGGTTTAGCAGGAATAAATTTTAAAAACAATAAATTTCGTGAATAAATGGAAACCCTCGTGAAAATTTTCATGCAATGATTTTATAGGATTTTAAAACTGGCCTAACTGGTAGATCGACTTCGTCTTGGTTTTTGTAATGCATCAAACCCATTAACTGTTTATATATGGTTTAAATAATTCGATTCGTCACCAGCGCAGCGTCAGTGACGAAATCCGTGAAGGCCGTCTTGGGTCACACTCAAAAGATTCAATGGGGAAGGAGGCAACAAGGTGGCTGGTGATGAAATGATGATGGATATATTGCTATGAGTCCGAAACGAAAACCCAATCAACAGTATCGGTGTTTCAAGACGAACTAATGACAACAAACAAATGCTTGCAAGTTTTTTGGAAAATGGGATATGTTGTAACGATTTCGTTAGAGAATATGCTAAAATACAACCATTTGTTAACACTGCTTTGAGACAACTTCCATAACATCCGATACTTGAAGGCGTAAAACATCGATTTGGCGGGTCTCCTCCATACAGTCCTGACTTGGCACCGTGTGATTTCTTTGCTATCCTGAGCATCAAAAACAAGTTACGCGGTAAATGTTTTTAAGACACCAGATGGGACGGTCGAAGCACACAAAACTCTCTTTTCTGAGATACCTATTTCGGACTGCTATAAATACTTGACGATTGGTTTGTTCGAATGAAAAATGTATTGATCTTAAAGGCGAAAGCTTCGCAAAACAATAAAGCTGTACGAACCATGAAGAATACACAAAAACGAATTAAAATGGGAATCTGAAAAAAACCAAATATTAAGAAAAGGAATAATTTGCCATTAAGAGGTTTAACAAACTATATCATCAAAAGTAAAAAAACGACATCAGAATCAAGGAAGGGCAGTAAAAGATAAAAAAAAATAATGAAACAGTAGAAAATTAGCACATAAAAGTCTTCCTCCTTCTTTCTTCTTATATGTAGGCTTTAAAGCCTGTTTCTTCTTCAATATTAGCCTGCTAATTTGTTTAAATTATCGCACCATCTTTTTTTTTGGTCTACCAATACTTCTTCGTCTATTTGGTGACTTATCTAGTGCTATTCGTACTATTCCTATCCTCTGCCATTCTGCTAATGTGTTCGTTCCACTCCTGTTTCCGTTTTGTCACCCATCCACATTATGTCTTCTATATTGTGTGCTCTTCTTATGTTTTCGCTTGTCTCCCTATCCAACAGACTTTTCCCTGATATTCGTCGAAGTATTTTCATCTCTGTTATTTCTAGTAGTCGTCTCGTTTTAGATGTGCCAGGTCTTGTCTCCGCCGTGTATGTTAATATAGGTCTAATTGCTGCTTTATAGATTCTTGTTTTTATGTGTCTTGTCTTAGGTGTTTGTTCTTCCAGATTGTGTCATTAAGAGATCCCGAAATTATTTTTCAACATCTCCGTAACTAGTTATATCTATTCCCAGATATCTAAACCTTGCTTCCTGCTTTATTATTTTCCCATCAATTTCGATTTTACATCTTAGTAGGTATTTAGATGTTGCCATACATTTGGTATTTTCTGCTGATATTATGATATTGTATTTCTTGGCTGTTGTATTGAAGATGTGTGTTAATCTTTGCAGCTCGTCTTCTGTCTCGGCGATTAATGCGGCGTCGTCTGCTTAACATATTTGGATTTCTTTGTTCCCCATTCTGTAAGCATGATCTTTAGAAGTGGGCACCCAGTCTGACTCCGCATTGTACCGGTATATCACTGTGTTAGTTTTCCATTTATCTTTGCCTGTATTCAATTATGGAAGTAGATGTTTTCGATGGTTTGTATAATATTGATTGGCATGTTTCGTTTATACAGTAGGTGTAAGACGTCTTCGACTTGTATGCGATCGAAAGCCTTTGTCAGGCCTATAAAACATAGATATGCTGGTTTATTGTACTCGATGGCCTTTTCTGTGATTTATCTTAGTACAAATACGGCGTCTACGTAGGATCTTCCGTATCTAAATCCTTATTGTTCATCTGATAAAGTTGTTAGTTTGTTGATTTTGTTGGTTAGGACTTTTGTGGTAAGCTTAAATGTGATGTTCAGTCGATTTATACCTCTATAATTGTTGGGTCTTCTTTATCTTCTTTCTTAACATTGGTATCATTATGCTGTTTCTCCATGTGTCTGGTATCTTGCAGTAATTTTTGTTCAAGTTTTGTCATCTCTAGGATTATACTTTCTCCTCCTCAGTGTTTTAGAGGCTCGTTGGTTATTCCGTCTGGTCCTGGGGACTTTCTACTTTTGAGTGAATTTATCTATCTCTACTTCCTGAAAACTGATTGCTATTTTGTGTCTTAATTCAGGTACATTATTGTGTTGAGTATTATTTTCCTTTTCTTTAAACAGTTCCGTCCGTCAGGTATCTTTCCTTGATGGGCCAGGTTAGCATCCTATCCATTTTACAAGAAAACAAGGCTTAAGAACCGATATAAAGCCTCGGAACATAAAACTCAGAAAAAATAAATAAAAGATTTTGTTTAGCCGGTGATGTTAAGGTTTCATAAATGATTGAATAAAAAGTCGTATCAACAAAAACACTGTCGTTTATTAGAAAAAAGACAACTTTTCATCGTTTATTGGTGGCATTTATCAACTGACATCCGTCCGTCGTCCAATTAAACAGCTATATAGTTAATTTTAATTACATCGACAATTTTTATAGATTTCCTCAACTAAATACAGTCAATCCCATTAACTATTCAACAATTAAAGAACTTTCACCATGTTTCTAATTTCAGTAATTCCCTTATCGAAAATTATAGGTTAAAAACGGCATTATCTCAGACAAGCAACTAGGTATCACAATAAATATGATGGTAGCAATTACTGGTGATGTGGGATTTTTCGAAACGAAAACGAGATATGCACCGATGATAAATGTTACGAAACGCACTACGTGTAATCACGCAGGACCGTGTTAAGGATAAATTAAACAAGAAACGATATAGCAAGACATTTAATGTTTTTAATGGTAAAAGTTAACCTCTTACTGCATAATTTTTTTTATTTTTTATAAAAAAACTATGATTATAAACTTGACTTCAAGATTACGGTAAAAATATAAAAAGAAAATCCTACTTGGTTAGTTTTTTGTATTTTTTTTTTTTGTGTGTCATATATTCAACAGTCATACATTCTGAACAAGATTGAACAACAAAATTAATTTAAAAAAATTACGTTTATTACTTTCTAATTATAATAATTATTCAGTGAGAAAGTTGTAAAAACAATTTCTATCTTTGTTTAAGCAAAGAAAAACATTACACTTTCGCATTTAACATTTTATGAAGCTTTTTGAACGACAGGGATATTTGCATATTTTCCTTTCACTACACCATAATGGAAGAAG